TAGAACAAACTTACCCCAGAGAAATTTTTGCCCCTCATTTGATAGGTCTGAATTTACCAAATATAATTTATTGATACAGATGTACAGGGGAAGAAAAGTCTAAAAAAACCTCAATCAAATAAACACTATGCATAGAAAGCATCCACAGCTGTACAGATGTGATTGTTGTTACCAAGCTTCTACAGAAATACCCACTTGCTACCTAGATGACAAGCACAGCATCACAGTCAGGGTTTCACTAACAAATCCAGTCTGGGGAGGAACCTCTTTCAATGAACACACTCGCCCACCCCTGACTCCCACCAGGGCAGCACAGCAGAGACACAGGCATCTCTGCCAAATGAATTTATCTTCAGTTATAGTGTTGACCTTCCCTGTGAACTATGACTAGAAAGGTTTGTGTATTCAGGTGATTCAGAACTAAACTCATGGAAAATTTCAGTTGTAGCAGAGCTGCAAGTAAAAGAGAACAAATAAGGTCAAGAGCAGATAAAAAGCAGTTTTCCTGGCCAGGAGGTCAGCAAAGAGCCCCTGACTCTTGAGAAGTGGACTTAGGCAAACACACTGAGCTGGCTATTCCATCTCATAGGTTAACAGTTCAAGGACAGCTGAATATTTTCCTTGGTTGAAAGGATGTCTGCTGGCACAGGGAGGAATCTAATTCAGAATCGTTTTCTGAAGAACAAGCTCCAGGGGTTCCCCATGACACAGTTTTCAGGTGTAAAAGAAACAGCAGCAACAGAGCAGACACTGACTTTGCACTGTCCCCTCAGTGCACAGTCAGTACTTCCCAACTACAGTGAAAATAGTTTTATGCTACTATAACTGAATAAGAATTTAATTTTCCAACACTCAAACTAATTATTAACTTCCATGAGAAAGATATAACTCTCTGGCATATTTATAAGCCTAGATTTATTTGGATCCTTTAAAAACATGTCCAAACACCATTATGCCCACCTTTCTGTGTGTCTTCTTTAGAGCCTGCCTCTGCCACTGTCTATCTGTCCTTACATTATACTATAAGCTCCTTTAGCTGTAGCCATGGAAAAATTATTTCATTGTCATTTGGGTGAGCAGCACCCTTTGTGATTTTGATTTAGAACTTAATCAAGACTCAGTGCAAGTCAATGATATTAGAACCACAGAGATTCCTGTGAAAAATTTATAAGTGTGTTCTTCCAGAAAGTTCTTGGGTATCTGATGCATAGCCAGAAAACAAAGCCAAAAACATAAAAATTTACACCTATTTAAAAAAACATAGTACACAAGCATGAGTCAGGCATTGCTGCATTTTGCTTTACTTGGAAAAAGAGTAGAGCAGTTGACAAAATTCAGTTAATTTTGATTGATTAACCTAGAGAAGAGGAGATGATTGAAAATTCAAATTTCAGAATGCAGCTGGAATGGAAACTTGTACCAGTCACTTGGTATCTTGGTCAGTACCATGCACTGAAAACAAGCAGATACATGCATGTCTATTCCCCCAAACAGGAAACTAAGAGCCAGCTACTGCCTAGTCCAGAGATATAGCTAAAATGCCTTTATGTTTTCCCATAAGTATTCAGAGAAGAAATTGAAATTTACAGATTGAAAGAGGGGAAAATTAAGGTTTAGATACTAGGAGGAAGTTTTTTTTACTGTGGGGGTGGTAAGGCACTGGAACAGGTTGGCCAGGGAGGCTATAGAGTTCCAATCCAGTTTGGATAAGGCCTTGGGCAACCTCTGGTCTAGCAGAAGTCGTCTCTGTCCATGGCAGGGGATGTTGGAACTAGATGGTCCTTAAGGTCCTTTTCAAACCCATAGCACTCTATGATTCTGTGATTCTATGACCAAAGTACCAAGCCTGTCAGAGTTAAAAGAATGTCTGGATGCTGCTCCTAGTCATATGATTTACTTTAGGTAGTCCTGTGAGAAGCAGAGTGTTGGACTCAACAAGCCTCATGGATCCCCTCCAATCAGATATATTCCATTATTATTTTTAAGTCAGCAGTCCTTTCCAAATATGAATGTAATTTATAAATAATTTGAGCTATTGTCAATTCATTTAAAAAAGAAATTAAGAAAAATCACTCACAAAAAGTTTCATCCAGGTGAGGAATCCCAAAAAGCCCCTGTTTAAGTTTATGGTTAGTTGAAATAAAATCTACTTCATTCCAGTCAAAACTACCACCTGTCAGTTCTGCTACACTTTAGATGAGCATTGTATAAATAAGAACCTGAATGCAAACTCCTACCAGAAAAATATAAACTATTCATTGGTTGTCTATTTGAGTGCAGATATACTTCTGAAAAACAAATAGGAGGTTTACAGGTCCTGTAGACGTTCTGAACCCAAATCTCACATTATGAAACTGCCACTGCCCCTGTTCACAATTGACCAGCCACTGAAAAATTGTTATGCACTCATAGGCTCTTAGTGATGGAAAAATTGCTTTCTTCATATCCTTTGCCCACATTTTTCCTGATATATCTGGACTTGAGCAAGAATTTCAGTTTCAGTGAAGGCTTGCAGGCAAGCAAACAGCAATTATTTAAAGCTGTCAGGAGCAGAATCAGTTAAGCACAGGCAGCTGCCTGCAGCATCACACCCAAGAAAACATTTGGGTCCTGCAGTACTTTCAGGAAATCCAGATGATGCCTGTACAAAATCAATGACTTGCCACTGACCACAGAAAATGAAAAAAAAAAAAAAAAAAAAGCAAAGCAATTTAAACCAGAAATGTGAGATAATGTGGAGAAATACATAGAGGAAATATAAAACTTAACCCCCCCAGGAAAATAGTGAAAGAAACGGTTTGAAGTATTACTAGTGTTTTATGACATCTAGGAATTTAGGATTTATGTTATGACATGATTTACAGGCTTTACAAATCAGATTTATTTCCTTTTTGCTGCCACGTCCATGCCTCCATTTAAAAGTGAGAGAAACAGGAAAACAATAAACAAGTCTTATCATGACTCAGGAATAATGTTCCTATACCCCATTTAGATATTGAAACAGTGAAAAAAGACAACATTTTTTGGACCACAGATGCATTTGGTAATGTCACTGTTTTTGTTTGCCTTTTGCCTCTCCATAAGCCAGTAAAAATCAACATCAGGGAGACAATCTTCCAGGCAATACCCTCTTTTTGTCAAAAAAACCCCACTTGGCTGATCTTGTTTTCCCTACAAGCCTGCATCACTTTCTTCCTTAGACCATGGTTGCAATAATACTGCTACTGCTGTTCTTTAAAATGCCCACTGAGTCAGCACACTGAAACTTGAAAAGGTTTGAGTGTACACACGGCATGGTTTAGAAATTACAATATTTTTGCCAGATCCTTAATGGCATTTTTCTTTAAGCAACTGTTTTCCTGAATCTTTCTACTGTCTAACCCTAACCAACTAACAAACCCCAAAAAATTAAAAAAAAAAAAAAACAAAAAAAAAACCACAAAAAAAACTCCACTGCTGATCAGCGCCTGGTAGAAAGATTCACCATGCACATTTTCTGCTGTGCTAGGTGATGAAGACAAACTGGAATTTAAGTGTCTATTGCATTGTAATGGGTAAACATCAGTTAAAAACTGCAGCAAAATGTAAATCTCATTAAGATTTCCAAATTTGTTCTTTCCAAATGCTCTGAATATTGTTCTTATCTTTATGAGCAAGAAGTCTACCTGAGAACAATTCTGCAGTTTCCACACAGGACACTTCACAGGCTTAATTAGAGAAATTCCAAAATTCTGTTTGCCCAGACAAACAGATTTTTTTTCTGCCTTCTTCTGCTAGACACAGAGTGGCAGAGATTGGAAGGCAGCTCTGGAGAACACCTACTCCAACCTCCCTGCTCAAGCACAGGTAACTAAAGTCCCTCAGAGCTGAGTCTACTCAAGGTTTTGGTATCCCCAAGCACAGACTCCACTGCCTCTCTTCAACACAAGGACTGGACACTGACACAGACTGCATAATCAGTGACCTTCACAGCTGACCAGAGAAGAAAGCAAAGGTAAAAAAACCACATAAAATATGTATAACTTAAATTACAACATGACTTGCAGTTTAGTACAATAAAATGCTACCCAGTAATGCCCTTGAAATCACTGAAATGGGAGCATATGGCCCAGTACAATCAACCTATTCCTTTGATGCGACCTACGATTCACAGTTCACATGAACAATACCTATTTCATGATTCTACTCTAATAAAAACTTAATGAAATAATCCTTTAAAGTTTAAATCCCTGGTTTCCTGCTTACTTTTATGAGCTAAGTTGGAACTACAACCTGCACCCTACAACCACGCTTTAAAGCATCCCAGAGTTGCTGGCTAAAACACCGCTGACTTTAAATATTCCAGCATATTCAGAAAGAACTGGTTGATGGTCTGCATTTCTTTAATATCTGATCAGAAGACAAGAATTTGCTGTTTCCCAAGGGCCACCCTAGTCTCCTGCCATTAGGCTAATATCACTGTTCAGAAAAACACCATGATGTTTACCATCTCAGGATCAAGCTGATAAAATTCACTGAAAGCCATTTAAAAAGCAACCCGACCCTTTCAAAACAAACACTAACTTTTCAACTCAAGCTATTTAAATGTCTGCAAGGGGAAAAGTTTTGTTCCTTGCTTCAGAGGACAGCTACACCACCCTGTGAATGCCAAGAAGCAGCGCAAGCTGATGGAGGCTGCAGCAGTTCTGATGCAGAGGGGACCAGCACCACTTCTGAACAGCAGCCAGGGATGGGGCTCGTCATCTCCCCTGCACTGCGTGTGGTGCTACTCACTGTAAGTAAGGAAAATCGATTTTTCTATTAACTTCATAGAATAATAGTCTTAAAATGCTCAAACAATATTTACACACAAGTATTTTTCATCTGAGGATTCCTTAGTCTTGTTCTGGGATTTCACTAGGGGAAATGTCGCTTTTGGATGCACCAGATGTGAAATATATTGCAAAATTCTGAAGCAGGCAAGGGTCTTCTGAAGAAATATAGGCATGCATTTTACTTACCATACACAAAGCAGGGAAGAATCTTCACCACATTATAGCACTGCAAATGTATGAAATAGTCTAAAACGTGCCAGTGAACAGAAATATTTGGCCTATTCTCTGTACTGTGTGTTTACTTTGAAGGAAGGTGAAAAGAGCAATCTTTCTACTAAATTCCTTTTGAACATAAACTTCATTGCATTAACCTCACTGAAACATAACTTAGGTTAATGGTGCCACCTGGTGACAACTCTTACTCACTGTTCCCAGCCCTTGTCAAGAAAGAAAAAATAAATTTGTATGGCATAAACCATCCCGTCAAGAGTAACCCCCCCTCCAAAACCAAATCATCTGCATTAATTACTTATCCTAAGGAGCAGAGTGTACTTTATACAAAGAACAATAAATAGGAAGTAAAATATTTCTTAACATACTTTCATTTTAGATACTATTATCCACTATGGTTTATTAGTTTGTGAAGCAAATGCACTTAATAGTACACAAGGGAAAAAGAGAGAATCAACACTAATTTATTAGAATCTGTTGAGGAGGTGGGAGCAGGGTGCTTTCTCTAGCTCAAAGCCTTTCTGTTTGCTGCAGTGATATGTAAAACTCCAGCACCACCTCTGTAGGATTTTACTATCCCCATGACTGCAGTCCCTAAACAAAAAAAAAAAAAAAAAAGTGTTTGAGCATGTGCTTTTTGCACTTTACCTGCTAGTAACAGCTTACAACAGAAATTAATTCTGAAGACATAAATTGGTCTCTGCATAACTCTCTGCATTGCAACACTTCTGACTACAATCACAAAATAACTGATGAGAGGCTTCTTCTGAATGGTGAGACTCTTGCCCTGTTTCCTCCAGGTAAATCAGGATTTACGCTGCAGGTAACAGTACATGGTGGGGGAAAACACCTAGGGCAAGGAGGAAGCAAGCAGAGACAGGCCAAGAAGGGCTGGAATCCTTGCTCAGACAGAGACAAGGTCAGGGAACATAGCACATCAAGGCTACTGGTGTGCTAGAAGACTGCTATCTGCCAATGTGTATAATCAACCTTATTATATTACTTTCTGTCTTCTGTATAAAATAATAAATAGCTTACAAATAGATAGCTTCAAAAACCCAATATTTAAAGAAATTGGTAGAGGAGAGTAATAGAAATGGAGATGGGAGTTTCTATTTTGCAGGAGATGCCTGGGCATAGAGTAAGACACACATTACTTAATGTAACACAACTTAAAGCTGAAATAACATCTGTACAATAGAATAGCCAGAATTTGTGTTATGGATTATATTGATGGTTTCTCTACAGCATTGCTTACATGGAAAATATGAGTTCTCAACAATTACTGCACAACCACCACTTTAATTACATTACAGTAACAATTTACAGGTGAAACCAGCCATTTTAGCAGTCTCACCTCAGCTTTACTCCCACCCAGTTGTCACAATATCCTATTTACAGTTGCAGTCCTGCACAACAATTCCATCAGCACAACTGCTGAATAGTCTTTCAAATTTATAAAAAAGAGAACACTTAATAGAAGGCAGTATACTTGCTTTACAGTTTGCTATGCTCACCCAAAACTTGCTAATTTTTTACTAAACTCAACACTTTGGAAGGGCAGCTGAAATTACTGGATAACTTTCAGTGTATTAATGTGTTTTTGAATAGAAAACAACTGCACTCCTTCACCTCCCAGGACCTTTAAGCAACTGGTATTTTCTTTCTACGGAACCTAATCAGAGACCTCGTTAATGTAATAAAATATGACTATCTCAACAGGATGGATACTCTCCTCCTAGAAGCCTAATTCGCATAATAGTCACACACTGCAGATGCAAATTATACAAGTATCCATATGCTTCATTTATACATCTATTTAACCAAACTAGCATAATAAATATGTCTAGTTAGATACTTGCAGTAAGTGTGCAGCTGTCTGGAAGGAGATATGAAATCACCATTAGTGAAATCCGAACTGCAGCTGTCATTAATCAAAGCTTTGCCCTTGAACATTCATCACTTGGATATTGCTGTGACAAAGTGGACTTTTAGTGCTGTTTGGGATGGGAAGATTTTACTTCCTTAAAATAATCTGAGTTTTCTAGTGGTGCAGATGCTGTGAAAAAGGCAGTTTTTATGCTTGGTCTCAACAGAGCAAATAAGCAGAGGAAAGATCATCAAAATATTATAGAACACTTAAATTATACATAAAACGCTGAAGTTTTGCGCAGTATGTAGAAAATCCCTATTGAAAATACTTGTGTTTAATAGAAATAATTGATGTTTCTTGGATCAATGGAGATAATGCAGTCAGAAGAGATTTGATTGTTAGGCCAAATGAAGATTTCTATGATATTGAAGTGATGGTGTAGAAGAAGCTTTAGTCAAGATGAGGTTCCAGGCCCTATATCCTTTGATCAGAAAAGAGCAGTGGCTGTTAAAATTATTCATCTTGATTTTATCTTGATTGACAGAGATATAGAGGGGTTTGTACAAGCTCAGGGGAGCTTTCCTCATGGTGAATATGGTCAGCATATTACATATCACAAAATCACTGGGTTGGAAAGGATTTTGAGAGGCCATCTAGGCCAACCTCCCCACAATGATCAGGGACATCTCCCAGTAGACCAGCTTGCTCAGAGTCCCATCCAACCTGATCTTAAATGTTTTCAGGAATAGGGCAGCTGCTACCTCTCTAGGCAATCTGTGCCAGTGCCTCAACCACCCTCACTATTAAAAAAAAAAAATCCTTTTATCTAGTCTAAATCTACCCTTTTACCTTAAAACCATTCTTCCTTGACCTGTTGCCACAGGTCTTACTAAAGTCTGTCCCCATCCTTCTTATAAACCTCTTCAAGTATTACAAAGTCACAATAAGATCTTCCTGGAGTCTCCTCCAAACCAAACAGCTCCGGCTCCCTCAGTCTCCCTTAACTGGAGAGGTGTTCCATCCTTGTGATCATTTTCACAACTCTCCTCTGGGCCAGCTCTAACAAGTTTATGTCTCTCCTGCACTGAGGATCCCAGAGAGGGATGCAGCTCCCACTCCAGGTGGGGTCTCACCAAAGCAGAATAGAGCAGGAGAAACACCTCTCTTGCCCTGTTGGTTATACTGTTTTTGATGCACCCCAGGACTCAGCTGGCTTTCTCTAGACTGTGAGCCATCATTCCTTTAGAAAGATGATTAAAAACTTTCCAAATGTTTCCATTTTCATGAACTCTATGAGCCTTATATTTTATGCATTTTACATGCATTTTACAAGCTATTTTACATGTAGATGGTTAAGCTTTCCATGTGGAAATATGTGTGTTCCCAGGTTAGTTCACTATTAAAGACACTTCCAACTAGATTTCAGCTGTCAGTACATTCTTTGAGAGTGGTTGGACAGTGAGTGTGCACATGGGAAGTTAATAAACTTGCTGGAAATCCATACTCCTGCTTGCCTTGCAGTAACTTTGTCATGTAACCACACTTGGTGCAAACTACTAAGAATTTGCTGACTGTAGCATCTTCTGCATTTGTGAGCCATCTGTTCAGTCCCAGCACTTGTGTATATTGCTTCCACATGAGATCTGCACACTTTACTGGATGCTGCTTTATGAGAGCATTATCCAGCTCAGAAAGAGTCACCCTCAGCTGTGCAGTCACACCTAAGAGGTTTGGAATTCACTCCTGGTGTCATTGAGAGCCCTAAAGATACAACCCATAATACAGCAAATTATTTAGGTCTTTTCACTGTACTACGGAAATTGTACTTCCAAGCACAAAAAAAAGTGTTAGCTGGGAATTATTGTAAATTTATTGTTTAGTGAGGGACTTCTCCAAACTTTCTTGGTTGCTAAGCACTTGTCAAATATCTTCTGGTTTGGGAAAAAGTGTTGCAGTTTGTGGCACAGTTTACGTATGTAGCAATAAATGAATGAGCAGTGGGTTTGAGATATGCAACTACCATACCCCTTATGTCCAGTGACTTCCAGTGCAAGCAATGAATTTTAATATTCTTTAAGGCTTTCTTGCAGCAAAAAGATGATGTATGGCAGACCAACTATGTCAAACTAACATTCTCCTTTTTATCATGACTATTTTTATACTACCATTTTCTCAAACACGTGATGAGGACTGGCACTGAAGACACTGGAGGAAGCTGACAATTGGAATGAATCACAATTCTACAAAAATGCTTTTGAGTTCTGTGAAGAGATTTCTATTCACAAACATCCATATCTCCAAACCTTTGGTAGAGTTAATTATGTATTTCCCTTACACAGTAAAACAAGTCCTGTTTCAAGGAAGGTTCTTCCAGACACTTTCACATCTGATTTTTTTGAGTGCAAATCTTGCAGAATATGAATCTGCACTGAGGAATCCTGCAGTTCTGGTATTTTTCCTTAAAAGTGGTGCTGCATGAGTGCACTTTGCCAGCACAGGTTCTCACAAACCTAGTGTAACCATGTAACACAATTCTTATTAGAAGGTATTTAAACTGTCTATTCACATTTGTAATTCAATCAGGATTTGTGTTTATCCCATTGAGAACTGTGTATACATGTCCTAGATATCCTTTGTCTTCCTCTCTAATCCTTTACTTATCACCCACACTGCTTAGCAAAAGTTCAAGGCATTGGCCCTTTTTCTTTACCCAGACATCCTCCAGTACCTTAGCATTGTCTTGATTTAATACCAACTCCTCATATAAATGCAAGCTGCACCATGCATAACATTACTTCAGCAGTATCACTGTACCTCACAACCCTGTCCCATTTCAACAGAGATCCATCTCCTCACCAAATGACAACCAAAACAACAAGCACAAACCTGCTATTTGACAAGCTGCCATTACAGTTCATTTCTTAGGCCTTTATTTAATGAAAGTAAAGACAACTTGCTAAAAAACAGGGCACAAAGAGAGCACAGCCTTTATTACAGGAACCTTCACCACATATCCTAATGCTATGCCAAGATCTGTAAGGAAATGCTGCAGAAAACCCCTCAGCACTCTGGTACTTCAAGACACACTTGACATCCTGAGCTGAGAAGAAATATGTCAAAAAGTCTCTGAAAAAGGCACAACTCCCACCCTTAACTGCAGTGGTCAAAGCTGAAAATGTAGTGAGTGAAGAAGATAGTAAATTTATACAAGAGATTGTGAATTAGCTAACATGTTTGATTGATTTTCTCCTTCAACAAAAATCTTAAAAGGAAGAAATTATCTTGACAGAAAAGAACATGAATGATACAAGAGATAACACAAAGGCACTCCAGTGGGAAACT